CTTTTGGACTTAATAGCAAGTGACTGTACAGATTTCTTAAACTCTTCTCTAGTACCAAAGACCATTCCTAGTGCAAATGTTGGATCATAGATATTGCTAGGATTAAAGACAATTTCTCTCTTTTCAACTATTTCAGTATCTGAACAAAACTCATCAAAATCAAGAGGAGTTTCAACCAAATCTTCATCCCCACTATCAGACTCTGTTTCAATTTCAAACTCCACAGATTTGTCTACATTCTGATCAAAGTCTGCATCATCCCTCCCACAACTACTTTCTGATCTTAGATCAAAGTCACTGTCTATAGTTTCACTGCCCTCATCACCCCCATCACTATCACACCCATCATCACCCCTATCATACACCTCAACATTTTTTTTGGTACCCTCATTAACATTTTTTTCACAACTCATTTCAGTACTCTTATTTGTCTCTTCACTCATTTCACTCTCACTTGTTTCACTGCTCTGTGATTCACTCTCATTTTTTTTTTCTCCAATTCTACCCAACCACCATCATCATACTTAGAAGTAGGCACAAATTGGCCTTCATCCATTAGATCAATGTGAATTTCCATCAATCTACTAGTATAGAAACATTTAGCCCAATTACGTACAGTTGAATCATCCCCAAGCAGGTTAAATGTAGCACCCGAGTTGAAATAATACCTTCTTTTTTCTACACACCCAAATAGATCACTAAGACAATCCAATGTATCAACACCAATCTTTGACTTGTCTACCCAGTCAAAGATCATACTAGAACCCCCAATATAATAGTCAATTGGAGAATGCAAAATTTGACCTCCACACCAAAGTTGGACAGTCAAATGATCTTTACTTTCTATGGAACCAAACCCAAGTCAACCAGAAAAACAACAAACAGAATAAGTTAGGGGTTATCAAATGACGACACCAATAATCAATGGTAGAATGTACAACTTATATATTTTGAATGAAATTAGGGGTTTTCACCACATTATTGTTTAAAATTAGGGTTAAAAAACCCTAATTTGTCTCAAAATTAGGGTTTACAAATTAACCCTAATTTGTTTCTGAAATTACGACTTGTAATTAAATGAATACGATTTGCAAAGAACCCTAATTTCATTATATTGTACGGAATTTAGAACCTCATTTCATTTTAATTCTACGAACTTTAAAAAATGTACCATTTTCACCTCAATTAGGTTCTACATAGCACGAATTTTCAATAAACAAACAAAAAAAATTGGCACTGACCGTATGTGGGAGGTCCATTGTGCATACGAATCTTCTTCCTGATGAACACCTTCTCAGGAATCATTTGCCTTCTTGCTTCTCAGTTCTTGCTTCTTCGAGATTTGGATTCTTTTTCAGAGAGAAATGGGAAGGATGGAAATGTAGGGTTTTTTTCGGAGACAATTTGGGGGGAAATCGATTGTGGGAAGAAGAGCCAATTCGTTTTGTGCCTGTTCAACTTCGGGCCATTTCATTTGTTTTCCCTCCATTTCCACTGTCGACACGTGGATTTTTTATTTTTTTTCGTTTAAGTTTGTTGGTCTACGTGTCAAAACCCACACCAGCGTGTAAAAACCGGCTCCATGTAAGGCGAGTTGCCCGTTCATTTCCATCACGTGCATGTCACGTGCGTGTTTCCGGGCAATTAACGAGTTTCCGGCGAGTCGGGGACGAATCTGCAACCTTTTTTCGAAGTTAGAGGACGAAACTCAAAGTGGCTATTCGAAGAGGACTAAATTGTTCAGAGGGGTATACTTAGAGGACGAAAAATGCACTTTTCTCTCATTCATATATTTAAATGGGTAAAACTAGTATGACTATTCAAACTTCCTTATTAAACAAATCGACTAGATTGAAGCTTAAATATGAGGTATTCAACATGACTCGACACGGATAACATTTCGAAGGCAATTATATAAATTATAGTATCTCTCTCACACATAAACATATCTGTAGGCGTAAAATTGTATTTTAAAATGAATAAAATAATTAATGAGTTGCACTATGAATTTTAAAATAGATAAAATAATTAATAAGTTGCACTACAAAATACATAACTTCTTGATTTTGGTAGTTTAAATGCTCAACATTCTTTACACTCACGAAACTCATTGATTATTGGCTCGATATTAACACAAGTGCTATAATTGGTAGGCTATCTAATTGTTAGACATATACATTTTCTTACCAAAAAAGTATTGTGATAATGGCCTTGTTTGGCTATCAGCGAATAGCAGATAGCAGATACCGGATTGTATCAGCGGATAGCGAATTATATTAGTTGATTTGACCAGCAGATTGCATTAGCGGTTTTTAAATAAATGTTTGGTAAATAGTTGAAAGCTTGTAGTTGTTTTGACATTGCAAAATGAGCAATAATGATATTTTATTATTTAGGGTGTATTCTTTTAATAATAATATATTAAAACATTTGATATTATTTAGTCGGTAATTTATATATATATATATATATATATAAAAATTTACTAACACTTGATGAAGAAGTTGAGAATTTTACATTTTTCTAGATAAATTAATCATATGGGTGACATATTACTATTTACTAGTACCATAAATCAATGTAGATTGTAAAATAAATAATACAAATTAAAATTTTCCAAGTAAACGATTTTTGTGAATCCTCTATCCCAAAAAGCTGCTCCAATGAGGCTTTTTTTTTCTAAATTAGAGTTTTGGGTCCAAAAAGCTTATCAAATTAGCTATTTACCAAACAGCCTCAATAGCGGATTTGACGGGTCAAACCTCTCAATTAAGTCCAATCCGCTAATTTATCTTCAATCTGCTATCTTCCAAACGGGGCCAATATGAAAAATGTCATACTTTTATTTGTCTATAAATTATGACATTCAAGTATGCGGTTTTGCTATGAAGCCGATAGTTGGCTCCATAGTGGAGCCAACTTTCTATATACAAGAAATAGACTTACCATATTAATAAAATTATATTAGTGTTTAAGTAATCAAATAATATAGTAGGTTTACTTGTTATATAGAAGGTTGGCTCACTATAGAGCCAACTGTTGGCTTTATAGCAAAACCGGTCAAGTATGAAAGTATAAATATATTTGTTGGAAGAGTGTTGTCTAACTATTAAATAGCTAAGAGAATGTCGTATTAATAGTTCTAACAATTATATTTTGAACCATTGGATTGCATATGTTGAATGTTCTATCCCGAATTTATTCTATAATTATTTAATTGGACTTTAGATCAAACACAATATTATAAAATATTGTTGAAAGGGTACCTACAAAATATGATGTAGTTAAAACTAATTAGTAAATACACCGATACACTATTTCTAATAATTATGGAAATAAGTATACATTGAATATGTTTGTTAAATTTTTAATCTATAATATATATAT